AAGTGGTTATTAAGAAAGTGGGGACAAAACGGGGAATAATAATAGCATTTACGGCATAGAGCTGTCGTGAGGGCACGGAGTAGGCACTCAATGAGAATAGTGATTCGTGACTAACGTGGATCTGGGAGGATGGCTGGCTAGGGCCTGGGCTGGTGTCCGTGAACGTATACTGCTGGTGCATACTAACGTCTCCCTGGGTCCCTGGCGCCCAGCCTGTAGGTTGTCAAGCAGCTGAGCTGCCCCGTACTTGTTCGGGGCTCCCGGGGGGCTGCTCCCTGGCAGGGATGGGAGAGGGCAGGTCCCCCTCCCGCCCCCCTGCCCGGGTCCCTGGAGAGGAGGCTGCCCACCGTGGCGGGCAGACGCCGCCCGCTCTCCCGTCTCACAGCACTCATATTTTCCATGTGCAGCAGACCGTGAATTCACCTTCATACTAGTTACAGGGTTATTTAGCTTCTCCTGACACTGACAATCACCAAACTTTAATTCGCTACTTGTCTTCTCCCTGCTGCGCCCTCTGCCCACCCCCAAAATCCCTGGGAGAGGATGGGAAGGACCTAGCCTGGCCTCCTCTTGCCAAAGCTTGCCCTTCGGAGTGATGGAGTGATGGGGGGGGGGGGGGGACGACGTGGGGGTTGGTCAGTAGGAGAAGATGACGGCCAAGTGGGGGGGGGTAGAGACCAGTGCGGGAGAGGAAGTACCAGGGCCAGGGGACCTTCCGGCCTGACATTAATGTATTCAACCCGACAGCCATCCTGTCCTGAATGAAGACGCGGCCAGCCGGCGGGGCCGCGCGTCTGAGGGCCGGCAGCCCCAGCCAGGACCGACGGGCCAGGACTCACTGAGCTCCCAGGACCAGGCAGCTGGCATGGGCTGGCTCCTTCGCCTTCTGCTAGACAAGCCGGTGCCCATCAGGGACCCGACGGGAGGGAGCTCATTCTGACCAAGCTGGGAAGCCAGTTCCCGTGCTTTCCTGCCGCCCCCCTGCCGGCCTCCGGTCAGGCAGAGCCAGCGACCCTGCGCGGCCTCTCTCCAGCCTGCTGCTCCGCTGCTTACATCCCGTCTCTCTTCCCTTGACGGGGGCAGGGGGTCTGTTCTAAGCGACTCCCAAGTCAGATGGGAAATAGAGACCCTGAGACACTGCTCCCTGAGCACCCAAATCACAAGCCCTGGCCGAGAGTGGGGGATGGGGGCCTGCTCCCTCGCCCACTGGGAGAGGCGGGGCTGCCCACACCCACGGCCACCCAGCAGGGTCTTTGCCTCTCTTTCCCTTGGCTCCAGCAGATCCCCTTCCTTCGGTCTCCCCTGTGCTCCCACCCTTGTCCAGGAGTGGGTCCAGCTTCCAGAAGGTCCACAGAGGCCTCCAGTTGGCTCAGGGGCCAGGTGAGCCCAGAGCGTCAGACTCCGCCTCTCAGCCACCCTCCTCCACCTCCTGATCACCATCCGCTCCCCCCTCAAGCTTTGCTCTGACAACCATTTGGTGGAGCCAGGGGGCTCTTACTCCCCAAATCCAAGCTGGGCCGCCAGCCACTCATTATGCAGAGCCCCAGAGCAGAGTGCTGAGCTGAGAGGACTGCGGAGACCAGAGGCCTGGCAAGGACTGGCAGGGGAGCTTGGAAAAGCGGGGGGGTGGGGGGGGCGCAGAGGCAGGTGGGGGGCAGAGGCAGGGAAATGCATGGGGGCATTAAGCGGTGCCTGCTTCCTTCTAGCCCTGTTCCCCTGCCCCACCCCTGCCGGCGGGGGAAGTGGCCACGGTGGCCTGGGCAAGAGAGACGTCCACGGGACCGATGGCAGCGATGGGAGAAGGGGCTTGTTGACTGCAAACTGTCCATTATGGCTCAGATTATAAGCATATTGTGCAGGGCTCTCTGCACGATGCCGAGGAAATCCAATACGCTGAAAGGTTAATGCAATCAATTAGGGTGACAAGGAAGTAAAGTTAAGCCTTCGGAGTAGATGAAAAGGAGAGAGAGAGAGACAGAGAGAGAGAGGAGGAGAGAGCACCGTGGAGTTGGGGTGCAGCAGTACGGGTGGTGGGAAGGCGAGGAGGAAGGGAAGCTAGTGGGAAGCAGAGAGAAGGCTGGAGGCATCGGAAAGGCCTGGAGCCCAGGAAGACAGACAGGGAGGCAGCAGCAGCGGCAGCGGCAGCAGGAGAGGCGGCCAGTGAGTGGTGCCAGGACGCAGGCAGCTCCGTCTCAGACCTCCGCCTGCTGCACGGCTTCCTTTCCTCCTTCCTCCCTAGCCCTGTCCTCTCCCCCTGCCTGCCTTTCCTCTGGGGCTGGGAACCTGGCTCCCACATTAGCTCACGGCACCAGTAACGTGTCAGAGCAGCCTGGTCCCTGCCCCTGCACAGAGCAGGTGCCCACCACACGGCCTCCTGCTTCCCTCGCAGCAGCAGCAGAAGCAGCAGCACCCCAGCATCCTGGCTCCTACTTGCAGCAGGCCTGCGACAGGAGAGCGTGGTGGTCAGGACCCTTTGCAGATGGAGAAACTGTGCTCAGAAAGGTCACCCCCGGAGCCTCTCCTGCTCCAAGAAGTCAGACTCAGAGGTCCTGGGCAGGGGTGGGGGGCTCGGTGGCACCTGCCCAGGGAGAGGAGGGAACCTGGGCCCCTCCACTTGCTAGGCCCCAGGCTAGACACCTTGGACAACATGAACTCGCTCCCTTGTCCCAGTAACCCTGCAAAGTAGATGCTCTGCTCACCTCATGGACCAGGACAGGGTGGATCTGAGGATCAGCTAAAGGCGAAGGATAGAGGCGCAGGGGATGCGGGAGCAAGAGCCCGAGGGAACTGTGGCTATCGGGGGGAGGGCAAGCGGGGACTTCTGGGTGGGACTGAGGAGAGGAGGAGAGAGAGCAGGTCAGGGCTGCAAGCAGCCAACAACCTCAGGACAGGGCTCTCAGACCACCGCCCCGGCCCCTCGAAAGACAAGAGGGACAGGCACACGGGGCGGAGTGATGGTTGCACAACATTGTGGACGTTCTGAATGCCGGGAAACTGTACACTTCAGCGTGGTTACAACGTTAAATTTCATGTTTTGTGTATTACCATTAAAAACACAGAGAGAGAGCAGAAGGCAGGAGCCGGAGCCTCCAGAGCAGGAGTTAGCAAACACGTTCTGTGAAGGGCCAGATGGTAAATATTTTAGGCTTTGCAGGCAAACGTCCTCTGTTTAGCTACCCAGCGCTGCCACTGTAGAGTGAAAGCAGCCACAGCCAATATGAAAACGAGTGGGCGTGGCTGTGTCTCAATAAAACTTTATTTATAAAAACAGGCAGTGGGCCACATGTGGCCCGTGGGCTAAACCAGGGGTCCTCAAACTTTTTAAACAGGGGGCCAGTTCACTGTCCCTCAGGCCGTTGGAGGGCCGGACTATAGTTTAAAAAAAAAAACTATGAACCAATTCCTATGCACACTGCACATATCTTATTTTGAAATAAAAAAACGGGAACAAATACAATATTTGTATTTGCATGTGGCCCGCGGGCCGTAGTTTGAGGACCCCTGGGCTAAACTTTGCCAAGTCCTGCTCCAGAGAATGGACACACCCAGGACTGCCTTTCGGGATCAGGGATGCCAGACCCCGTCCACTGTCTGGGGGACAGAACTGTCCAATCTACACTTTGCCAAGAAGTGGAAGGAAGGGATGGGCAGCAGCCTCGGGGGAAAGTCTGGTTCTCTTCTCCAGCAGAGGATGGAGAAGAAAGAAGGGAACAAGAGCAAGCGCTGGCGTGGGAAGCAGATGCCCAGGAACCATCTGTCCCAGCCCCCGCCAGCCCTGCGCTGAGCCTCAGATCCGCGATACGCAGGGTGGCGACTTGCAGCTCCCAACATTCTGGGCAGCTCGATGCCAGGAGCAAGGTGTGAGGCTGTGGCTCAGAGAGGGGGCCGGAGCGGGGCAGCGGGCTGGGCTGCCCAGCAGGGACGCCAGGGGAGAGGAAGGCGCGGAGAGAGGCCTGGGGAGCGGCGCTGTAACCGGGGTGGTGCTGGTGGCAAAGGGAGGAATCCACGGGCCCCAGCGAGAGCGCAGGGCGCGGGCCGGGCCTGCCCTACACCGGCCGCCTCTGATCACGTTTTCAGGGCCACTGCCCGCCGGCACAGACAATGCAGGGGGAGCCTTTGAAGTCCCAAAGGGATGCCGCGGTGGGAGCCTCTGGACTCTCCTCCCTGCCCCCCGTCCTCCGGAGGGGGGGGGGGGGCAGCAGGACAAAACCCGGAGCCAGCCGCAGCCGGCCAGAAATGCGGGAGACAAAGGGAAAACAAACAGGTTTGGAGCCAGGCGCGCGGTGCCGTGTCTGTCCCCCGCCCCGCCGAGCAAGGATGATGGATGGCTGCAGCCAGCCAGCTCGCCTGCCGGGCAGGCCCCGCTATTTACATAACACTGGCGTTCCACCGGTCACCTCTGACACGGCGCTGCCTGGGGCCTAGGCCCGGTGGCCCCCGAGGTTCCTGGAGCCACTCGGGGTCTGAGGCAGCCTGGGGAGCCCTGGGCCTGGGGAGCCCTGGCCCTGGGGAAGGGCAAGACAGCAGCCTGCTCTGGGCTGGGCCTGAGGCCTTCTGGGGGCCACAGCCTCCCCCCAGGAGAGAGGGCTTTCAAGTCAGCGAGGTTCCCCACGCTCCGGGCTATAACCAGAGCTTGAGGGGGGAGGGGGGCGGAGGAGAGGGGGGAGATGGCAGCAGCCAGCACAGCAGGCACATGGAGCTGCAGGGAGCTGGGCATGGTAACCTCGGGCAGGCGAGCGCTGGCACCATAGATGCCGCCTTGAACACACTCGATGCCCAAAGACTGCATCGCAGGCATCTCAGATCGGTGCCAGCCTAGGAGCCAGTCTGAGGGTGAGGCCACCTTTCCCACCAGGTCCAAGTGGGCAATGCGACTCCAATGCTGAGTCTTCATCTTCCCAGCCCTCGCCTGACGGCCAGCCCCAGCCAGGGGACACCCGCTGTAGGCAGGGCTCACCAGTGGGGGAAGGACACAGGATCGGGAGGGGCTCAGGCCTTACCTCGTAGCGGGTCCTGGAGGCTCCTCTTCTGCAGTAGGGGCGTCACTTCATCCTGAGGAGAGAGAGAGAGGAGCCCTGTTAGCCTTTCAAGGCAGCGTGCCCGCCACTCTGCCTTATACCCACGGCTCCTGCCACCCTGGGCCTAAGGGCTGATCCTCTGGGACCTGCCAAAGGGGTCAAAGATTCAGACACACGGAGTGGGCACTGAATTTGTCAGGGGCTGATCACAGTGGAAATACGATCCTCAGGACACCCCCCACCTAACCAGAGACCAGAGGCAGCAATGGGGGTGGGGGGAGGGGACGCTCCCGCGAGCTGCAGGCCAGGGGACAGTGACAGAATCCAGCAGCACCCACTCCTTGACTCTCTCCCCCCCGGCCCCTGAAAATAAAAATGACAGATGCCAAGCTGTTCACCATAACAAGTGGGTGACAGGGTCAAGGGTGGACCAGGGGCCCACACACTGACAGCACCTTCCTCCCTGGGGTCCTACTCATGAGTCACAACAACCCACAATGGGGCCACAGTAGAGGAGGTAAATGTACGTCTTTAGTCAACTCACTACTCGGCCCGCTTGCCAGGCACAGGCCCTGCTCCTCAGGGGGGTTTGGAGAGCCAGGGTCAAGTGGGTGGAAAACCCACGGAACCCTCTGCCTGCTGACCTGGGCCCCCTGCCCTTGCCTGAGCCGGGCTCTGCCACCCCCCATCCCCGCCCCCCCCACCCCTGGGCCTCAGAACTCTACCCACGTCAGGAAAGCGTTTTCTCTTTATTGTGTGTTTCCTCCCCACTCCTTCATGTGTGGCTTATCAATGATGCAAGAGGAATAACACCAATTTCCTTAGGCTGCGTAATCCCCAAATCAGATTGGGGGATTGAGAGAGGTGAGGTGACCTTGCCCAGGGCTGGGGACTGTCACCCAGTCCTGCTGCCCACCGCCCGCCCTTCTCAGGACATATTTAGACAGATAATATTAATTGTACTTGACACGTCCTCCTGAAGAGGGCTGGGTCCCTCGCCAGCTTTTGCTGCCTTTGCTGGGCTGCCTGGGCAGAGGCGCCCACCAGGGCAGAGCCCGCCCTGCTGGACACAGGGCTCTGCTGGGCATCGAGCAGTTGGGAGGGTTTGCCCCGTGGGCCGAGACCCGCCCATCTGATCCAGATGGTGAGAAGCTGGGGTCTGCGAGAGCTGTGCCAAACCAGATAGGGGGCAGCAGGGAGGAAAGGGGAGCCATGCCAAAGTGGAAAGGGGGCCAGAGGCGGGAAGCGTGGAAAAGGGAAGAAGCAGAAGAGGAGATGGAGGAAGTGGAGGCCAAGCAGGGCAGGGCCACGGGGTGGGGTGAGGGCTGGAGCCCCTGTGACTCCACTGAGAGGTGCTGGGCAGGCCTGGCTGTCGGAGCTCCCATCCCGGCCGGCCGGCCAGCCAGCCAGGGACCGGGCAGGGCGGCATCTCTGTCCTGTCCATCCCATATGCGCCTGCCTGAGATCTCTCAAGGCGCCCTGGCTAGCCTCCCTTGGACCCCCAAAGCCCCCCAACTCTACAACTCCAGTATCTCCCTTCCACCACCTTTTTCTCCCCTCCCAGCCTCCCCGGCAACTGTGCATTTATTAATTCATGAGGCACTAATTAGTTCTTTGTTTAATTTTGTGTTAAACAGACTGACCGGAATGATAACGACTTGCAGCGCAGTGTTGCCGTCCCCAACCAACCCTGTTTTCTGACAACAAGGGAGCGCGGGAGACCGGAGCGCTGAACCCAAATCCCTCAGCAGTTGCACTTCATTAAGTCAAAATGTGACAAGAAGCTTAGAGAGCAACTTGCAGATCTGATCGCACAGAGCCATCAGGGAGGAAACTTTCCAGGAGTTGGTCAGGGTGGAGGAGGGACAGGGAGGGGCAGCGATGTTTACTGGTGGGGACCAGGAGGTGAGCTGGGGCTCTGTCCCTCACCCGCCCCCGGGGCAGGTGGCCCGGCTGATAGGAGCAGAGAGGTCGTATCTGGGTGGGATCTGGGACGCCGGGTGGATTCTGGAACCCCAGTGGGGACCTGAGAAGTTCAACTTCATCTCTGTAGTCTTGCCTGGTGTTTTCCATCTCTCTGCCTCTCCCTGTCCCTGATGTCTGGTTCTGGCCTGCGTGAGTGACTGACCAAGAATCAGAAAGCTGCCGTAGTGAAGGAGGGATTCTGCAAGGCCAGGGGAAAGGCACAGAGCAGGAAAGCACAGGAGAGCGGGTGTCCCTACACGTAGGAAGGTTGAGGTTAAGCACACCTTACTGGCTAAGAAGAGAAGTAACATGCTCGGGAATCATGACCAATGTATCCATTCTCTGTCAGCTGCCCACCCGCCCCACCCATCCATCCACCCATCCATCCATGCACCTATCCATCCATGTACCTATCCATCCATCCACCCACCCATCCACCCATCCACCCATCCATCCACCACCCATCCATCCATCCACCCATCCATTCATGGACCTATCCATCCATCCATCCATCCATCCATCCATCCATCCATCCATCCACCCATCCATCCATGCACCTATCCATCCATGTACCTATCCATCCATCCACCCACCCATCCATCCACCCATCCATCCATCCACCTATCCATCCATCCACCTATCCATCCACCCACCCATCCATCCATCCACCCATCCATCCATCCATCTATCCATCCACCACCCATCCATCCATCCACCTATCCATCCATCCACCTATCCATCCATTCACCCATCCACCCATCCATCCATGCACCTATCCATCCATCCATCCATCCATCCATCCATCCACCACCCATCCATCCATCCACCTATCCATCCATCCACCTATCCATCCATCCATCCACCTATCCATCCATTCACCCATCCACCCATCCATCCACCTATCCATCCATTCACCCATCCACCCACCCATCCATGCATCCATCCATCCATCCACCCATCCATCCATTCACTCATCCACCCATCCATCTATGCACCCATCCACCCATCCACCCATCCATCCATTCACCCATCCATCCATGCACCTATCCATCTATCTACCCACCCATCCATCCACCCACCCATCCATCCATCCATCCACCCATCCATCCATCCACCCATCCATCCATCCATCCATCCATCCACCCACCCACCCACCCACCCATTTACCCAATGTTCTTTATCCTAAGTACTCTGACCAGAACACTGAGAACCAAGAGGTTGAGTTCTTTGTAGAGGCACCCAGCAAATCAGAACCAGAACCGGGCCCCAGAGCACCCAGGCTGTGGTGGCTGATGGCGGGCAGGCAGCTGAGCTAACAACAGCCTGTGACCGCTCCCTCCTGTCCATGTGAAAAAGCGGAATGTTCACCCCCGAGGTGTCAAGCTGCTGACCCCTCTGCTCATGGCAAGAGTGAGGACGGAGGGATCAAAACCAAAGTCTAAAGGCAGGACCGCCCTCCCTCTCCCTGACCCTAGTCTCTGAGGATGTGCACAGGGCCTTGCATACGAACAAGAACATGGAAGGGCGGAGAATAAGAACACAGAGGACCTTGACTAACGTGAGCCCAGTTGAGTGGGAAGATCCTGTTGCCTTTTTCCCATTGGCCGCTGCACCTGTCCAGGTGTGGCCTGACCCTCCCTCTGAGAGCCCGCCCAGGCAGCCCACGGGCCCAGGCAGAGCCCACCGGTCAGCCTTGCCCAGGCCTTCCCCTGGCCAGGCCTGAAGCACAGTGGTCTCTCACTTGAGCCTAGAAGCCCTGGGCTGGCTTCTGTTAATTTGCTGTTAGGCTGCCTAAGCAAACCAATTAAAACTAATCATTAATTATAAAAGAGCAAGAAGAGAGCGGAGAGGGTGAAAGATGGAGATGGGAAGAGGAAGCGGGAAAGTGGGATGGAGAGGGAAGACCCAGGAAGACCCAGGGAGACCCAGGGAGACCCAGGGAGCTGTCAGGGGGTCGTGGGCCTGGGATCTGGGAGGGACGCGAGGCTCACGCTGCACAAGGGGTGCTGGAGTGGAGGGAGGGCGGGAAGGAAGGCAGGGATGGCGGAGAGGGGGCTGCCATGGGCCAGGGGCAGAAGAAGGCCGGGAGAGGTGGGGAGAGGCCGAGGGAGGGTGAAGAAGCTGCTGGGACCGGCGTACCAAGACCCGAAGAGGCCTCATCCATCTGCAGTGCCCGCTGTGGAGCCACCGACACCCCAGGACGTGGCCTCTGAGAGCTGCCCCCGGCTCCCAGGCTCCATATGCATGAGGCTCAGCTGATTATGCAGCAGGCCAGGCTCCTGGTCCCTGCGCCCGACCTGCTCCCAGCCCTCTCAGGCCATGGAGGCTCGGGGCAGCTGCGGGCCGCCATCTACCCCCCAGCGCTGTCTCCTGCCCCTTCCCCCGCCTCACACACACCCTCTCCCAGGCCGGCCTTTCACAGCGCTGAGGCCATGTCAGCCGGCAGCTTGGGGAGGGGGGCGCACAGACAACAAGGGGAGTGTCATGGAAACGGGCACTTCCCCCAGAAATATTCTGTTTGGCCCCCTTCCTGCACGGAGGGCTGTCAGGGGCCTGAGTGAGAGCCTCACCACCCCGGGACCAGGCGTGACAAAACCTATTTTCTGCCTCAAATTTGATTGATTAAAAAACTTTTTAGGAAAACCATGTTAAAAGAGTGAAAAAAAGAGAGGGAGAATGAGAGAGAGAGAGAGGGAGGGAGAGAGAAGGGGGGAGGACATGGCGGGGGAAGAAAGACAGAGAGAATGGAAATGCGACCAGGGGAGAAAGGCCAGAGTCAGAGAGGCTGAGCAGTTACCCCGGCGATGACAGCCAGGGGGTGCGTGCCAGGGGGACAGCCGCCGCATAACCGGCAGAACAGGCAGGTCACCGGGAGCCGGGACTTTACTCAGCGGTGATCGGGATGAGGAGGGGCGAGGGCCCCGCGCACTCCAGCAGGTGCCGGGTCCGGGTCCGGGTCCAGATGAGGCAGCAGCCAGGGTGGGTTGGCTGCCCGGCCTGGGGAGAGGAGCAGCACCCCAAGGCAGGCAGGTGGGGGTGGCCGCCAGCACCAGGGGTCAGCAGGTCTCT